CATTGTATTAGAGGTTATAACTCACGACAAAAAATGCTGGTGTAGTTCAAGACTTACCTAATAAAGCTATTTTATTAAAGCAATTAAGAAAAACAATTTATTTGAATATTTATCGGAGCTTGGAATTAATTTAATTTGGTATAAGCACTGCATAATAAAGTAGTACGGCAACACAGTTGTAGCTAGTCACAGCTCACTGCGCGCCGCTCCGGTCGTAGCTCAAAAGCGCTATTAACACCGTCACAATAAATCGTTAACGATGGACCGCCCCTCACACCGTACCGTAACTTCTAAATGAACTTGTCATTTTACACATTTGTTTGGATGTCGGAAAAATGCATATGTATAAGAGTCAGATTTCTAATGTAAATCAATCTGCTACATGGTTGATGCAGTGGCTGGGCAACTGGCTGCTGTGCAACGTGTCTCGCGTTGGATTCCCGCACGGAACAACACTTTGTGATCCTTAAATTGTTGTTTTGAGTCTGGATGGCTGTTATGTATGTGAATTTGTATGTTTGGAAACGCACCCACGACACAGGAGAAAATCCTAGTGTGGGGTGACGTTTATTTTTAAAAAGGATGAGTTATTATTTATCTTTTTAGAGTTAGAATAGGTATTATATAAAGCAGAAATATTCACCTTTACCAAAAAAAATGAGATTTTAACGAGCACTTATAGACAAAAATATCTACTAAAATTCCTATGTAATTGAGATAGAGATAAAGTAGCTCTTCACATTAAATAAATCCGTTTGAAGTAAAAGTATGCTCGAGGAAAGTTGCGAGGGCGTGCGTTGAAGTGTACGAGAAGTTATCCGACTGTCGAATGAGCTTAGGTGGGGACTGTTTGTGCATATCGAATGTGATGTCTGTCCAATTCCGAACCATATTCGATTTGAGAAAAGTTTTTTCTGTCTGTGTTTAACATACATTTGAATCTGCTTTTGAAAAATCAACTTTTGCTTGACTATGCAGACAGATTTGTGGATTTTCGTTCTTAAATTTATTGGAAATTTCGATGGTCTGTATTAATTTAATGGCTGTGGTTTAGTAAACGTACGATTTGATACGAAATCAATCGTTTGTGTAAACCAACGTCTGGGTCCAAATAAAATAAAGTAAAAACATACAGTTTTATCGACCAGACAAGCTTTATGGCTTAATAATAGCAAGATTTTGTTAGATTATCATTACAAGCTGATTAGGAAAAAGGACAACAATACATTTATTTTTTCATGATAAATAAATAAATGGTGGTTATATCTGCGTCGTTACTGTGTCCAATACATTCATGAAACTACATTGAAACTTGGTCCACGGTAGAGTTATCGAAGTTACTGAGAAGATTGTAAATATTTTATGTTTTATTCAGGTTTCAGGTAATTCTAAAGTGATTTTCAGTATGTTGTAGTACTATTAGAAACTTTCAAATGATTAAATACATAAGGTTGAAAGATTATAGAACTAACGTGAGTTTCTATACTAAATTAATTGCAAATACGACTTACCCACGTGATTTAAACAAAAAAGTCGGTTAAGTGACGTCTCTGCAACGCGCACGCTACTCTTGAATAAGAACCATGTAATGAATTATAGAACTATTGTAATTAAGTCACGTGAATTATTGTTAACTGAATAATTTATGATGATTGTCAGAACTAGTCTTAATTTTAACTTAAATGTTATACTTATTCAATGAAAAATATTCAAAAAAATATTTGACTCCGAATAAATAATTTTACCGACTGCAAATGTGAGTCGGTGTGAGAGTCAGCCGTCGTCGGTTTTAATGTATTACTCAAGAAATTGAACAAAAGTGTCGCACTTTGTGTTACTATAGCGGCGGGCGGTAGACGTGGCGCGTTTATTTTGCGGCCTCGGCTTAAGACGCCAGAGCCCTGTGATTAACATGGCTGAAGCCATTTTTATCCATTAAAATTTCTTGTTATAAGTGAAGTTTTGCTATTCAGCTTTTCTAAAACTCTCAGCATTTAAATGTTGCCCAAAATACAACTTGTAACGAACAAACTTCGCCTGTGCAACTGGATATAACCTCAGTTCGGCAATTTTATGCAATATGAAAATCCAATAACCTAGCCCGTTTGTGTGAGAATAGTTGAGAACTATCCGTAATATACTCATACTGTAAGACGTTATTCAATGTTTCTCGAAGTAAACCATTTAATTTAAGGAGCCCGTTTGTTTTTCTTAGTACAGTAATTACTTTAAATACTTAATGAGACTCTTTAATTACTCATTGGGTGGCTTCGGTGCAGATTCGTTCCCTGGGATTGCTGCCAAGAGCCCGCTAAAGTAAATTTGTTTCTTACAACCATGACAATTAAGTCTGTTGAAAACTGAAACCTTTTAGCAGGAGAACGGGATTGAGAGTCAGCTATTTAAGACAATGGAATCGTCGACTTTCTGATCTAATATCAACTAGAACTGTCGATCCTGGCACGCATGTAACAAAATAATGTTGTTAAAATACCACTTGTGTACACCAAAATAACAGGCATAAGTCACATGCCACATGCGTCGCGTACATTTTTCATAATTATTTTATAGCCGTAAAATAAAATGTTCCCGTCGCGACGCCAGGAATGTCTCCTGTACAAAGCCGCACAGTCGTAAATTTCTTGGCGCCCGAAATACGTAAAGCCCATTAAAAAATTAAAGTGAAAAGGGTCTCAGCTGTACTAGATCATTCTGTAATCCAGAGAGAGACACCAATTTCGTGCAAAAAGATAATCTTCAGAAGCATTTTAATTACTTTTAAAGCTCCCTTGTTAGACCTGTATTATGTATTCTGCACAAGACCGGGATTACCTAGCACCGTCGTAATATATGCTCGATCTTTTGCGCTCACGTGTAATATTATATTTTCTGTCTCATTCCCTCTGACCTGTTTCTGACATGTAGAGGTAAGCTGGCGACCTGTGGAGTGTTTTGATGTTGTTTCCTGCTAAATCGCGTTAGTTATTCAGGAATGGTGATTAAGGGGTGACATTCTTGGCCTTGGGGGATTAAGGTGCGAAGGACGCCCGTGTAATGGTGACGCCGTCTTGATGTGTATGTAAGATTTATTGCTGCTATCCGACCGCATCTGGTTAAATTGGATGCGAAAATGTTTTCGCAAATTGTGGAATCTTAGAACTTTACCGTTTCAACTTTTCAGTTCTTATGGTGCAACGAAGGATTATCAGTTATTGTATATTTAGATGTTCCGTAACATTTATAAGTTTTTAAAGAAATCAAGCTTTTCTTTATTAGTTTCATGAAAACTCGGCCCTTGCTATTATAAAATCGAAGCATCAAGATAAGTTTATCAGTTTCCCATGGCCGCCTGAGTATCGCTAGTAAAAGTTGAACTAAACAAAATGTGCCTATTACTGCAGGAGGCAATCTCCATTCTCTCCAGTTTTATCGCTCGCTAGATGATATTGGACGAGTACATTGTACTGTATAGCTACATTGTAAAGTCTACGCTCAGATTATGTGGTGCTTACTTCGTCGACTTAAAATTTTAATGAGAGATCATTCTGCGTTGCCTTAATAAGAAAAATATCAAAAGTCTCTTTTGATTCTTTTTGAATCTCTTCCGATTACATGATTGGTACTAAGTGATGAGGTACGTATTAACGAAAACGACAAGGTTTTTTTTAATTCCTACACTTATTGTATGAGATTTCTTTGGGTAGTATTCTTAATATTGTTCGTCACAGTCGTATCTGGATTTCTAATAACACAACTGACGTGGGCGTACTGTCTCAGTCTGGTGTAGTCTACGTAGAAATTCAGGCAAGATATTACGTTATGTATGCAAATTCTTACCAATAGGACTGAGATTGTGTTCTGTGTATGGTTCCCTATTACTTGGGACACGATGTCTTAGCCTTTTCAGGCTAATCAATTATTTAAAGCTACCAAGAATTCCATTTGCAAGTCGTATTCTATCTATATTACCGTTAAAGGAGGTATGTGTATAACAACAAGACTTTTATTGTTTCCACAAGTTGTTAACTATGAATCTTATAGATCACGAAACTCGGCACTAAAAATAAAATACACTTAAAACACTTACTTCGAAAAGGCGAATCTGTCCCAAACTTACAAAAATGGAATGCCCCTAGTTAAGATTTTCTCCTATGTCGTGGGTACGAACATAAAAGTTCACATACACACATTACCCAGACTTGGAACATAAACAAAACCATTCGTAGATCACACCAAAATGCGTTGAAAAATGTTGAAAACAGCAACTTGCAAAGCTACTACACCAACCTGACTCAACAGTTGCACGGTACGGTACAATCCATGCCATTATAACAATCTTAGCTAAGCTACTTATACTTGAGTCTAAGCTTACACAGACGCACACAATTATACATGCAATAAATAGAACGCAGTTATCTACTTCGCACAGGTCTCGTAGTTTGGGGTACACGTCGTCAATCGAATAAACCCGTTCCAAGCTGCCGTGCACTTGATATCATATTGAATGCTACCTCTTGTTTGTAAACTAACATCATTATTTTATTACCACACGTGATAACTGTGGATAATTCTTATGGTGGTAACTTTTGCTTTCTAAGTAGGTTTTATAGGGATGTTTTAGTCAAAAACAGTTACCTAAACTTAACCGTGTACAGATAGATAGACTACTTGGGTTTTATTCTGTGTCGTGGGAAACCTTATAAACATATATACCTATATATAATTGTTATCTAATTCAATTATTAATTACTATTATGTAAATCATGTAGGGCTTGAAGGATACTTTAATTAATAGGGTAATTAATACATTGAATATTTTTGTTTACTTTGCATTAGTTCTTGAAGAATATGTCCAAGTTTCTTAGTACATTTCAGACAATTATAACTTCGAAATACCATTTAATAAAAAAACTTCATCCACCTGTTACTTACAATATTGAACTCAATTTCTTTTACAGAAAGGATGATAAATCCTTGTTCTGTCGCCGGCCTCCTGCTGGCGATCATCGCTGTGGTGGCTGCCGCCTCCTATGACCGCGAGCGGCTGGAGATCGCGAAGCAAATACTGGAAGAAGTACCCCTAACTGATGGGTGAGTGTCATTAACTGGAACTATTATAGAAAATTAATTATAGTTGGATTCAATTTTAAATCAGTGTGTTCTACGAAGGAGGTTTATTTTTTTAAGGGTTATAATCATCCAAAATTTTTCCTGCTCCGGGCTGTTGAACCCTGGTTTGCCACGAAAGTGGAGTTCGCAGTTCATAAGGATTCGTATATCAGAAAGCTATGCTTCCCGGTCTGCTTGTCTCATAGAGGGGTCTGTCTCGTATGATGCCCGTGGGAAGAGTAGCGGTGGTACACCGGCAACTTAGGTTAATAAAATATCATATTTCGTTGGGTTGACATTTCATAACGTACAGATTAGTAAACTGCCTGCTCGGCGCCTCTTTTGGGCAATATATTACAGCGACCAAAGTCAAAGTCAAAATCATTAACTTCAATTAAATCCATTCAGGCGCTTTTTAACGTCAAATCTATGACCTATTTGATATTTATACAGGTAGGTCTATAAAATTTGAAAGTATTGATTGCAGTAAAGATGTTCAACAGTATTCACAGACTTATCATATGAAGCAAACCTAATCCACTAATACCTATTACCGTCAAAAGAACATTAGTATTGGCAATCAGACCGATCAAATATTGTTTGAATTTAAGCTTACAAATAAATAGCAACATCAGATCAAAGCATAATCTGTACCAATACAAACTATTCGATAACAATTTTCATTCCGATTTGAACAGTATTGATTAGACGTTATAAAGTTCAAAATTAATGGTTCAGATTAAAAACTTATGTCCTCGAAACTCATCCAACTTGTAAAGTGCTAGACTTAAAAAGGTCAAAGAAAATAGGTTATATGGATAGTTTCTTCCAGTTTGGTTTACGCTTTTTTTTCTAAGAATCCATCATTCTCGCCTCATTAGTTAGGTCGTTACGAAATTCGCCAAGTAGTACAAGTTTTCTAGGATTTCTAGTGAAATACCTAAATAACTGTAATCGTTAACCTTATTACAATCGAAAATGTATTACTGTGAGGAGGTTATAATATTTCAAAATAATGGCTAACACTATGATAAATGTTACATTTCAATATCTATTGGTCGTCTGGTCTTGGTGTCCCCGAGGTTAGGGCGTCCGCTTCTCATGTACATATGAGGGAGCGGGTTCAAAACCTGGCAAGTACCAATGTGACTTTTTCCAAGTTATATGTACTTTCTATGTAAGTATCCAAGCCTATATGTAAGCATGTGATTACCCCGGATGAGAGAGATCATAATTATGATGATTTTCTTCCACAAAAAAAGGTCAGCACTACCTCCGGCTTCCATGGCCGTCTGGCCGACAGTCTGTAAACTTGGCGTAAATATTGTACGTCACAATTAAACGTCTAAATCAGATCAGAGTTCCAAATTGCAACCAGCAAACGAGCGTACACTTTCACTATGTCACGGCGCAGTTTATGAGGTAAAACTAATACATTAAAACCAGGTCTCGACGTTCACACGTGGAGTAGAACCACAAACCGCATTAGGAATAATTACGTAAAAGCTTGACTTAGTTCCAACGGGAGTTCCTGGCATGTGAGGGATTCCGGTGGTTTTACTCACAACGCGGTGAAAGAATGATTAAATGCACCGCCTTGTGCAGTGTGCACACTATTACAACTTGTATAGAAGGTAACTTAGTCATGGTTTAACTATTACGTACCTAGTTTTCGCTAAAAGTACTAGTGGTGTAGTAGCAATATCGCTAAACTAAAGAATCGCTGTTTTTAAAACTGAGGAGTGCAAGTTTAGGCAATGTGAACTGAAAGATTTTTCAAAAAAAAAACCTTGCCCCACACTAGAATTTTTCGCCTGTGTCGTGGGTGCGTTTACAAACATACACTCTCACTGTCACTTGACATGATACCCAGACCCGAAGCAACAATTTGTGGATCACACAAAGTGTTGTTCCGTGCGGGAATCGAACCCGCGACACGTCGCACGGCAGCCAGTTGCCCAGCCACCGCGCCAAACGTGCAGTCGCTTTCTTTGCTATCTTCCTCTTAAGTAAAAAGTGTATATTTAAAAAAAAGTTTGGCCAAAATTTATATCTAATGGGTATGTCGCAGTCAACTAGCTTAATTACTCACATCAACAGTCAAAATGACCAGCTGTTTGATTAGGTGACACAATTTCTGCTTCAGTACAATTTTGGCAACTGTTTGTTTGTGATAGCAATTTGATTTTCGTACAATTTGCAGTTGTAACCTAACCTGACCTATTCTGGTCGCAAGTCGATCTTTATAAATATCCCTCAAGGGTGCTAATGAGAAATTCAGTCATACAATCATTTGACTCATCAATTGACTGACTAAGTAAGTTAGTGCTTGCGACAGAAACATTTTTATCAATTCTTAACAATACTAGACCTCGTTAATCTAGGTCCTACTGAGACATTAATTACAAACAGTTGTGATTAATGTCCAATTTGTGATTTATACTATGTCATAAAAGGTTTAAATTCAATCCAATGAATGCTGACGACGTTCATCAATAACAACTAAAATATCAAATAAAGGACCTATACCAACTCGTTCTTATTAAAATACCCTCAGAAAGGTATTCCATGAAAATTGTGTAACAACAGTGATCGAGGGCGGCCTGTCATCTGAGCTACTCGTTAAGTGAACCACTGCGCTATTTGTGACTAAAGTAACAACCAGAAAAATAACTATTTAAGCTGGGGTCACACTGAGAGCGGACTAAGAGGAAAGTTAATACGCACTTATTGATAATATGAGTAGATATAAGCATAAGTTTGTTTAAGTAGTTTGGTAGGAGGTAAAGAGGGGTGATGAGGACTCTTAAGGTAAATAAGTAGAGAAATGCGTGAAAAGCAGTTGAGAAATTGATTTAGTATAATACTATGTTCACTACACTTCTATAATCATCCCTCGACTTTTATATACCCCGTTTTTAACAGTAATTCATTAATTGTGACATCGACATTTTAATTCTTCTACATAATTGGTATCAATATTATTATAGCAGTGGATACTGGTGAAAATAGATCTCACGAAAATGAATATGGATTTTTCTAATTATTGATAGGTAACAAGAGCGTGAAATTCTTAAGTAATTTAAGCAAGACAATCCCGCAGTCAACAACTCTGCGATTTACGCGAAACTTTCTGCCCCGCACAGTAAAACTTTGGAATGATCTTTCGGCGGCTTTATTTTCGAACCGATACGACCTTGAAACGTAACGTAGTAACGTGCCTGTGACTTTACTGGTGCCGCGGCGTCCATGGACCACGCTGATCATTTACTATCAGGTGATCTTCATGAAAAAGAACTTTCTTCCTTCCGCATCAGTGAGCCTCTTCTCTCTCTCTTTATGGCCGAAGCCTTACCTAGTCGTAACGTCTGTTTGTCTGCTTGCCAAATTCCAGATATAGCTTTTAAAACTTTTCTAGAACAAAAACTGTTCTACTTAAAATTGTGGAATGAAAATGTTTGTGGTCAACATTCATAAATTGTTATTGTTTTTGTTTATCCCTCTGTGTATTGTACCGACAATTTTGAGAATTTAAAAGAATGTTCCATAGGCTGTCAGCTGTACCACGGGTCAGCGGTAAAATGTTTTTTAATCACGGTTTAATTTAAAAATAGGTTATGTTGCCGATTTTTCTTTAACCAGAACTTGTAATATAATGGGTCGCTACAGTGACAATAATTTTTGTTCTCAGCCACAACGACTTACCATGGAACATCAGAAAGTTCTTGCGGAACCAGATCAACGAGTTCGAGCTAAATACCGACCTGACGGTGGTTGAACCATGGTCCATCTCCAAGTACTCACACACTGACCTGCCCAGGCTGAAAACTGGAATGGTGGGAGCGCAGGTAAGGCCAAGACTTCATATGGATCTTATAGAACTTGATTCTTTGTTTTTTCTTATTTGAATATTCATAAAAGGAGTGTAAGGCAATACCGTTGAATTATCTCGAAATAAAATTATTTATGATCACCATATTCATATGTTTTAGATGTGTTTTGATTTGTTTTATGTTTACTGTGTTTTACCTATTTTACCGTTTTAATTTTAATTTATCGTAAATATTTATTACTTATTATTAATTTAAAGTAAATATTTGATGATCGATGGCCACGACTTTAGGAACTAAATCAGTATCATCGTTTATGGTTATTAGCGGTAGCCACGGCCCTCTCCAATCGTCTCAACGACCCCATAAATGGCTGTAGTGGCCCACTAGACTATCATACACCATAACCGTTTATGAATTATTTAATAGATCCCCTTAACTACTATATTAATATTACTACCTACGGTGGCTGAAGTAATGCAGCTTTTGTGGTGATGATACTTGAATACATAAGTTAATTATTAGGTGCACTTCAGCCTAGGCATGGAACAGGCAACAGCACATAAAGGTACCCGAAAACATCATAATGAAATTCAACTTTAATGTTTCATTATACAGTCGAAATTCTAATGATTTTTTATAGTATAGAACATTTTCATGTGCTGACGTATGCATTCAGAGTCTATTAACTTTGTAGCTGCAGGGCGAAGCGAGAAATTATTAGTCTCTACAATGGATATTCAATATTCCAGATATTAAAACCAATTTTTAAATTTTTTATTTAGGTCTGTCTATCTTCGAGTACACATCCTCTTTGTGGGCAAAATTTTAGATTTCCATTAAGGACTTTCAAGGGTTCTGACCTTGGCGGAGAACGTTAGAGAATGTTCGATAACTTTCTTGGATAATAACTAGTTGTAATAGTTTGATCGGGAAACTAATTGCTGCTTCAGATAGTTTGGTGTTACGTATCGAGTGGTTTAGCTCTTGTTCGAATATTTCCCCGAAATATCGAAGATATTTTACTCAGCAGACCTCACGTAATGTTACCCACTCTCATAGTTCGTCTAACAGTTTGTTCTATCTTTAATGTTCACGATTATGTACTTAATTTACCTCATAATAACAGTTTGAGAAACCAATATACGGAATTTAACTTTTTTTGATATTATGCACGAGCAGATTGGTTACCTAATGGTAAGCAATTGGCATCGCCCATGTACACCCATAGCACCAGATGAGGTACGAATGCTTTGACAGCTTTTGGGGCATCGGATTTTGGAGATACAACTCGTTGCAGTATACCATCACTTTTTGAAATAAGACATTTCCATTGATATTTTGTACTGAGAGTTTCAAACGTGAATCTTTAACTTCATAATAAGATATTAAACACAGGACTTCCGAATCAAATCCGTGACTACTCATAGGAATGAGATAATCTGGCTATACCTAAACCAAAAATTCCTTTTAAAATTCAACGGGCATAATAAATTGTATCCAATAACTCTTTGGTACGCAACAAAAATATTTATTGCTGGCATAAATTCAAATTAGACCCCAGTTTGCGACTGTGGGTGCAAAAACATGGATCGAAACTAAGGAGGGGATTTTGCCCTCCTGTAAACCCTTCTAATATACGGCATGCGTTTGTTTTCATTGCAACCGAGTCCAGTTTAATGAAAATGCAAGTTGATGGTAATTAGTGTATCACAATCAAAGTAAAAAAAGCAGCCCTATATAACAGGGCCCCATCTGTGGTGGCCTATAGACTAGGAAGGAAGGTCTGGGATTTTATGTACAACAAATACAATATGCAACTTTTCTTCTCTTAATATAAATATTGCACCTCACTAGGATTTTCTTCAGTGTCGTGGGTCATTCACAAACACAATTTCACATAAACAATACAACAAAACCCAGTTCATATACGAGATGTTGCGTGCGAATCTGCGACACATTGCACAGCAGCCCAGCCACCGCTTCAACGGCGCTATCGATAACAAAAATGCTGACTATAAGATCGGTGAAAAAAGTTCTTCTTCAACTGGCTCATCATATTTAATTAGGTACCGGATGAATAATACCGTTCGTACAGGCATTTTTTTTTTGACAGTACAAAAACTGCACAAGGAAACGTCTTTACACAGCATTAAGTAGAAAACCCTCGAACAATTTGTAATGGGGTCAGCGACATCATAGTAATATACCGGTGAAAAATTGTGGGTCATTTAACCGGGGCTCTGGGTGGCGATAAAACGGAACTATTTGTAAAACTGGTAAACTTTTCCTCGAGAGTTCTTATCATGAAGGAAACGGAAGGTCCCTACTTTCGCGAATGTTTCTACAATTCTTTTCTAAGTACCTTACACCTTCTCCAAGGAGCAAGCATAGCATGCGATTGTATAATTTTACAATTTTATTGTAATAGAAGCCTAGTTCAAACAGATACTGGCCGCTTCTCCAAGCTTTTCCTGATAGTTGTGCAACCCACACTTGCGACCATTCCAAATCCTTAAGCTAGATATTATTGTAAGTTAACAATATGCCTACAAATACATATAGGAAGATTTAAAATTACACAATTTAAATATTTACCAGATTTCTTTATTCTCTGAATCGAGGTTGCGGTTTATAATCTAAACGCAAAGTAAATTCGCCGTTCAATTTAATACACTGAAGTCCTACTTGCATCAGGTAAGACTTCAATGCCATGTTCCTATGAAAAGGTAACGTCGGCCTTTATTAAAATAAGCAGACCCACACATGTAAACCATACGCACACACGCTCACCTCACTCCTTCGTCCAAACCGTTTACGAATTTATAAAAACGAACCCTTTGCAACTCTTATTCAATTACGTTGAGCCTACATAAGAAATCTTATTGCATTAAAATCCTTATACTTCAGGATACAAAGTCGATTTTCCTATTGTATTTCGTTCGAGCGGGATATGATTTGTTTTCTATCCATTGTTGGGAATTCCCTGAACATAAATATTTTATGCGTATGGAAATCGTGGACTATCATAAGGATTTCCGTATAAAAGTGTGTGTATATCACGATACACGTTTTTAGATAAATGTAGAATCATTCATTTTTACTTTGGAATCGTAAGAAGTAAAAAGGGAGACGAACGAAATACGAAGAACTTGTTTATTTTATAACTAGCTACCCTCGCGCGGTTTTTTTCACCCGCTGCTCGGCTCCTCGAGCTCGTAGCGTGATGTTTTATAGCCTATAGCACTCAGGAACATTGTAGCTATCCATCAGTGAAAGAATTTTGCAAATCCAACCCGCGGTTCCAAAGATTACCCCTACATACACACTTACAAATTTTACCTTTTTTTAATATTGGTATAGAAGCATAGATTTACATATATTAAGGACAATAAAATTACATTTCAAAACCCACTAAGTAACATAGAATACTTCAGTAAATTCAAAAAAACAAACATACAAAAGTAAGGAACGTAAGTTGTGACTTCAAAACAACGCATAACTTCTTATTTTAAAATGACACCAAGAGGCAGTATTTCATAGAATACATTTTAATCTAATAATAATACTTTCGTCTCGGTCCTCGAACTATTGTTTGAAGGTCCAAAGTTTAGGAGATTTAGTCATTCCTACTAAGATTACTCCCAACCAAATCGACGAGTGTGCTTCCGTAGGCTCTTGAATATAAATAGGTTTATTTGTGATCGGCTCGCCCTCTCCACACAATCGCTTGATGAACCCTGGGAGGAGCATATCGCCGTGAACGATATTACACGTATACAACTCAGTTCCTTGCTCTTAATCACATTTTGCACTCGATATTACAATAATTTCAAAAAGCGTACGTCGTGGTGGCCCGGAGGTTAAGGAGCCCGCTTCTCGTGCATGAGGATGTGGGTTCGAAACCTGGCAAGTACCAATGTGAATTTTTCCGAGTAATATGTACTTTCTATGATTATTTAGACACCACTGACATACGGTGAAGGTAAACATCGTGAGGAAACCTGGACTTATAATTTCTAATTATAAGTTTGAAATCGCCAACCCGCATTGAGCAAGCGTGGTGATTAATGCTCTAACCTTCTCTGTATGAGATGAGGCCTTTGCTCAGCAATGGGCACTTATAGGCTGATGATGATGGGGAAAATGAAAATAGGTAAGATTAATCAAGGTCTTCCCGACCAGTTATGATTAAGGTACCTTCAAGACTCTGCTTCAAGGCTAGAGTGAATACGCTCTTAATAAACTAGTGCGCCTTACTATCAACGAAAGCATCACTGCTTACCAGGTGGGGTTGTAGTTAAGCATTAACTAGTTTATATGATTAAAAAAATACAATCATTATAGGTAACTTGGATTATTGTAAAAAACTTTACGCCTTGCTTGGATTTTCTGTCGTATCGTGGGTGCGTTTACAGACATACAATTTGTGAATCACACAGAGTTATTCCGTGCGGGAATCGAAAATATTTGTACGAAGAATAATTTTACTACGTACGACATTAATCTTGAGAACTCACTCATGATCATAATCAGATTAATAAATGTTGTATGAACATCAGAAAAAAATATCAAAAATGATTGCATTTGATGTCACGACTATGTTGATTTCAATCATTAAATAAAAATAAGCCAAATCAGGCAATAATTAAATAAAAATAAGCTTAATATAATAATAGGCTAGTTGTGAATCGTTTTAAGTTTTATCTATTCTACCAAAGACTACAACTCATTTACTCGTAGAACCTATTCCTCACAACTCTCTCTCCCTGCTCTTCAAACTGCTTTTTAGTGACCCACACATTTTGCGATTCCTTTGATCCTGCAAAAACTGCTCCACCCAACCAAGCCACTGCATATGGCTCCGTAGATTGTATAACATTCACAGGTCTATTTAGTATCGATTTAAGTTCGTTAGACAACCGCTTGTAAATACCTGGTATGGTCATACCTCCGTGTACAACGAGAGCATCAAACAATTCAGTTTGCAGATCAGCGTCACATTTTAGGCTCGAAGTCACAATGGCATCTTGTAAAGATATGTTGACCCACTTATTGTTCGGCACCAGCTCTGGTTGGAAATATAACTCTCCAGCCATGAACACCTCTTCGCTGACGTCCACTTCTTCGCCACTCGGCAGCTTGTACGTCTTCTTGTACTCTTCTTTCGTCACAGCGGAGTTCTTGGTCACATACAAATAATTGTTCCTCAAGTAACTGGTCACTTGGTCTATGTCCCAGTCGAGGTCTAACTGTCTTCGTAGGAGGCTATCTTTTATATATTCACTCACATGATATCCTGCCATGTTGGTGTTCATATTGGCGTATTCGATAGAACCTCCTTCAAAAACTGGACAAATCTCCGTAGTGTCGTGACCCATATCTACTGAAATGCCTGTAGTGGACCCTGAGCCAAATAGTGACAATACACTCTGTGGCTTCACACACAAACCCGGGGAGTTCAGAGTTTCGAAGAAAATCTCGCAGCATTTGATTCTGGAAAGAACAATGTTGCTTGTTAAATTTTATACCAACTTGATGTTTTCACTACAGGACTTCTAAATAACAACTGTTTGCACCATCGGTGTCTGTATACTTTCCAACGACCGCGTAACATTTTAAAATACTTTTTTTCTTATTTATATCGAATTTTCATTCGGTAGTACTAATGACGAAATTTCCTTAATTTTTTAATTTAAAGCATAATTTTTTTCGTATTTAATAGAAAACCAATGTTGTAAGTTATAAAAACCAAAATATTTCCATCGGGAATAAATAGGTCAAAAATAAATAATTTCGACTTTCAAATACAATTAAATTTTAAAATTTAAAATATAAATTTATAAGTTTGAAATCGCCAACCCGCATTAAGCAAGCGTGGTGATTAAAACCTTCTCCGTATGAGAAGAGGCCTTATAGGCTGATGATGATGAAATTTTAAAATACTAGGTACTTTATTTTAGAAGTACTAATATTTTTTCAAAAATAGTCATGCTACTTTTTTTAAATACCATTATGTATTCCGATTTTCACGAAATTTTCAAGGAAAAGTATAGTTATTGGCATTTCAACAACAGTATGAATAGAACTAGTTTGATATTACTTGATTTTAGCAGAGTTTCAATGTCACTGAGATCATTTCTTCGGACTGTGTATTCAGAAACAATCCATATAAATGATATTAATCGTCTAGCTAAACTCAAATACTATCCAAATATCTTGTGGCGGATCTGATTTACCACAACCTGATATACACACGCTTCGGCAGCATAGAAAACTGAGATTACTAAAGATTTTGCGTGGTGAATGTGGCGTACACCACTCACAAGAATGCACATCTTCCTTACAAACACGAACTTGCCCAAGCCGGAGTTATTAAATATTTTCCCATTGTTAGACGGCTTTTCAGTACAAATCCTGACTTAATGGCATGAGAGCTTAACAACGAAATATACTGAAGCTAACAATAGAAAAAGCGATCAGAATTATAAAGAGATCGATCGACGGACAATGAACATACTTTTTTTCTTGGTTTTGAAGAGTACCGTTTCATAGGAGCGGTAGTGATGGTATCTTTTTGTGAACGCGTCTCATTTTATGTTTTCCGAGTGAAGGATACGTTGTATAAAGGAAACATGGAACAATAGAGGGTACTGTGAGAAAAACTGAGCTGTTCAGATTTGTCTATATTTTCAAAAATCTGTATTAAATATGAAAACTGCAAGATATGTCGCGTGTCATGTTTCAAAATTACACTTAAATTTAAACAGCGTATGTTATGAATGAACGAACATGATGAAATTCCTTTGGTTTAATGAAGGTGGAAGTAGAGTGAGTGCCATCGACGACGTTCGATTTCCTGCCCCGGTATCTAGCTCAGCCCACGCGGAGCTATGGACGAGCGTAATGAACCACTAATGATACAACCTGCATAAACGACATTCAGGAAATAGAAACTTTACAGTCTTTGTTATTGTAATGAATGGTGTCGGCCCTCGGTTTTACTACTTGTGCTTTGACGCGATTTATTCAATTTCTTTATTTGAAAATGTAGAATATCTACTTGGTATTTTCTATGTGATAGGTCGGCAAACTAGTAGACGGATTACCTGATGATGCGCAATCAGCGCCACCCATGGACACCCAACAACGGAAGAGTTACGAGTGCGTAGCCGACCTTTTGGGGATTAGGATTTTGGGGATTTCGGGATTGGGGCAGTGGAATGATTGGGCCTCCAGTAAGCTTACTCACACGTTAAAATACAACGCTTTGGTTATACGCCAACGCTTTGGTTTTATTTGAGGCCGTGGTATAACTCCCGTCGAGCCGACCTAGTCGTGCCAAAGCATGGCTCTTCTAACTGCCGTAAATAGTCGTATGCAGAGTCTAGTTTCGTCTGTAAAATATGATATAACTTTCAAAGTTTCCAAGTCCCGTCACAAATTCAATAAGACTTAGGTTCCAGTTCACTTCGTCAAAGTAGACGTAATCCTAATGTCAGGTAAGTGCCGGTGCTAAGAGGCCGCCGAAGTCTCCAGTCGACCTGACACTTATGTAAAGATTTTGGGAGATTTAATGTCATCGTCACTCTATTCTCAAAGCATTATCTTATTTGAGACTGACAGAAATGTTTGCAGTGAGAAAAGATGCGGTTTAAACATTTTCTTATAAAATAGGAAAAGAGTCACAGCCATATATGCACCAATTAGATTATTTACACTACTGATCGTGCATTAAATAAGATAATAATATTGAAAAAAAAATGTTTCCCTTAATTTGTTTTTCTCCTACTCTAGCTCAATACACCCAAAACTATTCCGATGCAAGCGTTATTAAGCACCGTGGCCCTGGCCTAGGCCGAGAAAGAACGTGGTGGTTTTTAGCCAGAGTCTAACACACCTCCTCCTATCAAGAGGGAGAGAAGCTATGTGATTATTTTTCCCCCTCATTGAGTAACGATACCAAAGTTATTTGAAACAGACATTGCACTACGAAAAGTATTCAATAGAAATGAATGGTGATGACATTGAAATGTCTTTTATGTTGAATCGGGAATATTCAGCTATTCAAAAGCAACATTATTGTACGGACAATAATGTTGCTGCGCTGGAACGTATGAATACAACTAAATTCTTTACTCGACGCATTTTATATTCAATATTCTTATAGTTACAAGGTTACAAGTACATATGATCTTAAGTATGTAAACTGAAAATTTAAAAATTTTAAAAAAAATTGAAAAAGTTGTTTATTACTACAAAGTATTTTACATTATGGTTATACCCTAGATCCTACACTAGGATTCCCTGTGTTGTAGGACCTAGGCTCTGCGATCCGCTTATAAAAAAAAAACTTAATTCTAGTACTTAAAACCTAAACTAGAACAATCAACATAATTTGTGTGTGTGTGTGAGGGGTGTGTGTGTGTGTGGTGTGGTGTATGTGTTGTGTGTGTATGTGTGTGTTTGTATGCGTATCTGCAACACCTACTCTAGGATTTTAATAAATTCTTCCGTTTGATTATAATTCAGCGTAAGAAGCCAGTGAGTCACTAATTTTTTGCATTTATTTTTGGTTGTTTTGATGAAATTAAATCAAGGGGGTAATCATATTTGCAAGGTTGTCAGTAGTTGGATATAAACAAATAAAGATCGAGACGAATTAATGTTTGAAGTAAATATCAGGAAAAATAGCAGGTGAATGTCAATGGAATACAACAACGAACCGATAATGTTCACATTTCTATGTGATAGTATGGCAAACTAACAGACAGGCTACCTGATGATAAGCAATCAACGCCATCCATGTACACTCGCAACAACGGAAGAGTTACGAGAGTTACAAGAGCGCTGCCGACCTTTTTGGGGTTCGGGTTTTAGAGATTTAGGGATTGAGGTAGGAGAAGGATTGGGTCTCCGGTAACCTCACTCACACAGCGAAACACAACGCTGTGATTATTTCACGGTGGTTTTTTGTGAGACAGTGGTATAACACCGGTCGAGCCAACCAATTCGTGCCGAAGCGTGAGTCTCCCACTTATCCCGCGTACCTCACTTGACGATGATAAGGAATATAATATCTTGATTAAACTTGGTTTTTGAAAGCAACATTATACTATAAATGGCTTACTAAAAATATCATCAGGAATCATTCATCAGTGGCCCAATAGTTTATTACCGCCGTAAATACGAACCCGGCCGCCAGTCTGTAATAGCGGTCGTATTGTAATTAACACGAATATTATTTTTGTATGTTCGGTGGCGACGGAAATCGACGCAATATTGTTATTGTGGCCAATATTTGTTACACATATTTGTCGCCAATATTCATGACCAAGTGTTGGTCACCGTAACGGTTTGTTAAAATAATGGTTGTGTTTATTTGAACAAATATGATTTATTTATTGTATAATCCAAAGTTATAAGCAGAGATCGACTAGAAGTCGACATTCGCCAATATTTCAATGTTTCCACAAAATTTACTTAACACAAATGTATGTCTTTCTTTAATATGAATCGATTGCACATGAAGAGTAAACAAATAGGTTATGTTTATATAATTACTGTACTAACCGGCTAAGAAACCAGTAGTAAAACAACATTCGCCCAGTCTTCGCTTAAAACAATAAATTCGTTCCCGCCAATATAATGTCTGTGACTGTGTCGACGAATATATTCATACATTTGAGGAAAGTATCCAATGTTCGCATATTTGATCAATCTTGTCACGCGACTCAGCGATGCTCGATATGTTGGGGAAAATAAAGAAGTTGCAGTAAACTTACTAATATAATGTGTCGTGACATTTTGATTCGAAAATGAAGTGGAATAAATTGACTGTACTAACTTGTCATCCATAGTAGTTGCTGGGGAACATGATAGCAGTACAGCTCGGTCGTCGGGAGCTGCCTTCAACTCTGTGTAAAACACGTGGTGCCACACCCTCTCCATGTTATCCCAGTGGATAATCTTCCCCTTGTACACAGGATAGTTTAAGTCCAAGTCATACTTCCGTTTAACGGCCTCGTCTCCTACAAACACCTCGTAAGGACTTTTACCATACGTTCCATTGAGATACTTCGGCCTCCCAACTGTAGTTCTAAAAATGGACACCGGATGATTGTCGCACGCAAACCCGGCCTTAATATTAAAACTTCCATTGTCAATAACCACTACTGGCTTGGTGAAAAGCATATTTTTCTTTCAGTAAAAATAGCAACTGTGTCTTCCAATTGTATTCCGCTTTACTTATTACACTCTTTGTATGTACCACATGACGTTCTGGAAGACAAATGCGACCTTGTCATGTGGGAATGAAAACGTGTATTGTGTATTTGACCTCGCCCCTCTGCCGGCCAGGTACATCTCATGTGACATATCAATCTATAAAGTATGTATACCACGTCATAGTGTCGAGAATAAATCTTTTCTTATTAAGTTACCTTTCTACGTTACGATCTCCTTTCTTTTATCACTACAGGCTCTTAAAATGTGCATTATCTGAAGGGCAAACTCTTGGTATCATAAAATTTATAATCTTAGCTTAACCTTAACCCAAGTTTAAACAAAGTTTCGAAGTTAAGTTAATACCTTACTTGGAAGTTTGACAAGTGAGATAAAAACAGGGGTGGCTTTTACATCACGTGCTTAAGTTACATTGAGGTTATAAAGTCGTATTATTAAGTTTGGGGACACACAGATAGGATTGATTATAAAGTCAGGAAGTTTCACAGCAGGACGCCTTCGATGGTAAAAAGTTGAAGTAAATAAAAAGTTGGGAGACTGTATTCATGCGACCTAGTTTTATTTAATGCCGATTCTTGAGTGCTAGTATGAAGAGATCACGAGGGCAGGCGTGTTAAGATATTGCTACATAAATCACGCCGGCCGCCAGCCAGTATGCAACTACCCTTAAGCGACATGATTAATCACAGCGATTTATTATCGCTTCAAATAGCTATATATCGTATTTCACGAACGGACTGGCGATTTTTTTATTTATTTTTGCGCAAATATATGTATATATTATAATATAATTAGCCACGGCTACTCACGATTCCGTGTTGTTATTAAAAACTGAAAACCGTTTTTTGCAAATTTTATAGTTTAGATTATTGTTTCTTTACGCTCCTTGGCAGTTGTGCTACTTAAGTGTGAGAGAGCCAAGCCTCCACGGCCTCATAGAAAACCGGCGTGAAACAACTACGGCGAGGAGGGTAACTATGTAGGGTATTGTATATATGGAGGCCTAATCCCTTCACATCCCCATCCCTTCCCAATCCTTGTCTCGATACCCTTATCCCCAAAAGGACAGCAATGCACTCGTAACTCTTTTGTAGGTGCCTATTGCCAGCGCCGGTTGCTTACCTACCATCAGGGATTCCGTAAGCTTGTATAAGCGTAAGCTGACCTTTCGTATAAAAAAAAACTCATAAATTTGTAAAATGAAGCATATTTTATCGTAAATTGGTTTAATTCGTATAAATAGTGCACGAACACGCGTTCGTATACGAAATATTAAGAGCTGTATGAATATTCAAGACCTTTACTTGAAATTGTATTGTGGCTGTCTCGCACCACATGACATTCGCTCTGAGTATGTCCACTCGCTCCTAAGTGCTATGAGTAGACGCATTTTGAATACAACGTACACTGTACTTACCATACTTGTTCGAAGAGTTGGCGTAATGTAAGTGAGCGTGGATATTCGCTCGTTTATTCAATTTTGTACCCCACTATTTACCATTTGACCGCCACATTGGTCCGGGATGTTGCCTTGCGAGCGCCGATAATTGGATCATTCGATCTGGATATCTTATCCGGTATCGGAAAAATGTGACACAAAATCGTAAAATGCTGGCAGTAGCAAAATTCAGGGTGATAAAAGTAAAATAAAATAAAAGCAAAGATGTGAGTCCTGTACAGAGAGTCCCTTTCAAGATTTTCCTTTTTTCAAACTACTGTCCGTAATGATTTCCTGCCCCTATCTTAGAATTTCTCAAAGATCACTATTCTATTAGACATAATTATAGAGAAATCAAGAAGTTTAAAAAAATGTTTAGTTAAACTGTATTTAATTTATTTCCTAAAATCCGGATATAGTTGCAGTTTACCTGCTATAAGAGATTGCCGATCACTCATATAAATTACCTACTTTTCAAGAGGTAAAAACATCAAATGATCGGGCGAGAGGAAGTTTCAGACTCTTACTGACTTAAAACTACCTTTTTCATGCCCAAATTCGGCAACGAGCAGGCAAATTATCTGATGATAAGCAATCGGCTTCGCCAATAGACACTCGTAATATCAAAGGAGTTACTACAAGCGCATTGTGGGTTATTAGGGATTTAAGGATAGGGGATTTGAGGTTTGTGGATAGGCCGAAACAAAACGTAAGTGTTGCTTCACGCCGTTATTCTGTCAGATCGTGGTATCACTCCGGTCAATCTGACCCATTTGTTCTGAAGCATAGCTCTGCCATACTTATTCCTTTTCTTGCTCTCAGTAGTAGCTACGGTACATTATTGCATTTGCACTCGCAAACTCATCTTTAAGTTTGGGAGAGCCAAGCTTCCGCACGAATGGGTCGGCTCGACCGGAGTGATACCACGGCCTCACGGAATACCGGCGTGAAACAACCCTCAGTGTTGTGTTTCGCCGTGTGAGTGAGGTTACCGGAGGCCTTACCTTACCTTCCCTTCCCCTATCCCTCCCCGATCCTTATATCCGCAACCCCTATCCCCAATAGGCAAGCAACGCACTCGTAACTCCACGATTGCTTACTATCATATAATCCGTCTCCTCGTTTGCCGACTTATACCATAAAAAAATCTAATATATATACCTTGTCCGGGCTAAGAGTAAGGCTGACAGCTAACAAAGGTTGAAACAAAACGAAATAATAAACAAGAACAAGTTACACAATAATATTTTGTATAACCATAATTTTCTATTTATTTTATGCAAATATAACCACGTGTTAAAATAATTTCTGCATCAAATTGTATAAAGTTTGCATTGTGCTATTCCACGTCGACTGGCGGGAACTCGTTGACGATTTCACTGCAAACGAGTAGAAATAAGCCAATACAAACATGTGACTAGTAAACTGTCGTTTCACCAAGTTCTTCGTGTTAGAATAAAAATACACTGAACTCACACCTACATAGTAGTCAGGGCACCTAAAAATTGTTGATTTTTGACGACATTCTTTAATTTGTTTTGACTGAAACTGACCAAAAAAATTTTTTGCGAGGTTAACTAATCTAATCTTTTCTCTCGCCCAGTGTGAGGCGAGAGGGCGGGTCAGATAGTTACTGACCATAGATTCCCCCGTTCCTGCTCCTGCTCAAGGCCGAGGCTGAGGTACCTTAACCCTGCGACCCCGTCTGCAAATAAACTGACCAAGCCCTGTCGACTGTCGAGTGTTTCTCTCTTATCTCTTCTACCTTATAAACAACATCATATTTTAGCCTTCGTTTATCAGACTTTCAATCTCCTTATCCCCCATTACAACTGGCATAGATGTTCTAATATCTAATATTATTTAACATTCCAGTACAATCGCGACTCCTTTAAACATTAAGAGAGTCGAGTCAAATGAATGATAATATTAAATTCCTCACTTTATTAAAAATTAAGTCAGATCTGTTCATCTGTTTCTCGTCACAAGAAATGTCGTATTATACAAAGAACTGGGAGTTTCCACGAATTTAAATAAGCAAATTGTAATTTACTCCCGCTTATATAAAATTTAAAACTGAAGTGTTATCAGTTAATGCATCTCCTTAAATTGTTTGTCAATCGTGACATCGCCATCTACCGACGGATAATTAATGGAATTAATGGAGTCAACAAGACATTATTCCTCGTATATTATATTAAGCAGTTCAAATTCATATAAACTTCACCATTTTCTTATTCAATGTACCAGTAACTGATCCTCATTAAAAACTTTCTTACAGTAACAAATTAGATAACATCCTTGTTTTTTATAACCTAACATAATCTTCAATCTTTGTTGATAGGCCTTTTTAAAAGAAGTTAGATTTAGCTAGGTCAGATCCTGAGTCACCATAGTGTTCTTTGGTCATCCAGAATCCTTTCAAGTTTGGTAAGGAGGCTAGCATGGACCCGCCAACCCAGGTTGCAAACTGCCTCACTGGTATCGCTTCCACATTCGCCCTGACGTCACGCGAAGACTTCTTCAGATATTGCGTCAGCTCCTTCTTGAGACGGGCTACTAGACCTGGTGTCATAGAAGTACCGCCAGAGCACACGATGTTTTTGTAGAACATGGCCCTGTGGAAATATATTATGTAAACAAAATATTTTTATTGTATATGTATAATCTTTTTTTTCATACATTGTATACCAGGTACTCATTCATACCTATAATCAAGATCACATGTATCGATACTGTGGCAGATGAGCTCCACGATATTTTTGCACTTAAGTTGCTCAAGTTCCGGCTTAAATAAAACCTCTGGACAGAGAAACCGTTCCTCTCCCAATAGTATGTGCTGGCCGTCCGGTAAGTCACACCTAATTTTGCTATCATATCCTGATGATTCTGCCAGCTCCTTATCGCAGTTCTCGGATACGTGACATTTTTCTTTCTGAAAAGTCAGATGTAAAATTGATACGTCAACAATATGTAAAACAAACACTCGCACATTGTTTTCTATAAATGTTTACCAACCTTAAATTTTTCGAGCAGATCTATCTCAAAAGGAGTTGTAAGCGAATATCCAGATTTGAACATGAGACCCTGCAGTCTTTTAGTTAACATGTTACCAGTCATCGGCGAAGTGAAGGTAGCGTGCTTCAATGGGAAACCTTCAAACACTGGCGCGACGTAAGAGCAGGAGTGGCCGCACTCCCACACAACGCCCGACGTCTTTCCATATGCGTTCAGCACTAGAGCCGGTGACTGTGCAATGTAGAGGGAATCAATGGCGAAGATTTCAAACAATATTTCAGCCATCCTTCCGCTAGATCGATACACGAGGATAATATTATAAAAGGCTCTTTCTCAGAGAAAATATACTGAATGGTTTATACATACTAATCATTTTTTGATGTAAGCGGGTTTACAGAATGCATGACCTTCGAAGACTCTGGAGGTACGTGCAGTCCCTTGTAAAAGACGTGATGCCACAGCTTTTCCATCTCATCCCAGTCCTCAACTAACCCTTCCTTAACCGGGTACACCAAATTGGATATACCTCGATTCTTAATAGCCTCGGCGCCACAATACACAAGTGGTATACCGTCCACGAGACCTTCACGCCTAAACCTGCAAAACAAAAGCAATAAATTAGAAAAAAAGAAACAAAAGCTCGCAAATAAAGGCTAAAAAGAATATTTTAACACAATCATTTTTGTTTGTGTTCTTGAGTAATTGTATTTATTTTAACTTTGGCTTTGATGTATTCCGTTAGCTGGTATCTACATAAATTCTTGTTATTTCGATCGCTCCCGGTCTATCTTTTTCAAGTTCAATTAAGGAACACTTGACTTTGTTTAACAAATATAAAAACGTAACATTTAAGTCAAAACATGTATAGAGTACAGCAGCTAAGAGCTCATTAAAACTGCTATGTTATTCCGCTTCGCAGATCAATGTACGGCAGGTGCCCACTTGTATTTCGTACGACGCTCTTAACTTAAGGAAATATGTATAAATGTTATACTGGTTTTGCCGTGTACTCGTATGTTTTTCATGTAAGCAATGTTTTCCTATTTCGCATTAAGAAAATTGTAAAATATTAAAGAACTACAATTTTAAGTGAAACTTATTTAAAAATGACGAACAGTAGGTATAACAACCAATTTTATTATCAACTTTAATGTGTAAATGAATAATTACGCTCGTCCTCCGATGGTTCATAGGACAATTATATATCTCTTTCAACTCATCTCTTTACGATTTTATACATACAATGACAGCAAACAAAATATTACATTGTGTAATCTGTATACAACCTAAATATTCAAACACGATACGCTTTCATGATCGTTCACATGGAAGACCGCATAGTAGAAGTTGTAGCCGCACGTTAGTATTCCAACTGAAGTAAGTATAAACTGTTGAAATCTGTTCAGCTGGACTGTGTCCGCACTCCGTCCCGACAGCCCACAGTGCGACATTGTGCTCAGTACTCAAACAGACAGACAGTCGCACTCAAACGTGATACAGTGCAGGTCAGCACAATGAGTTACAAACGCGACGTATATTGTCCAATATAAGTACTTACCGCAAAACTTCTCGCTCAGGGAGTACGTGGTCGGAACACCACGGGAACATTCGGACCGAAATTTGCATAACGTCAACCCTTATTATTCCCCGTGAGGTTCCGTAGATTTGTGTGTTTGTATTGGCTACTTTCCTCTATTTAGTTGTAATTTTGAAATAAATATAAACATTAAAACTACAAACAATTACGAAATAAAAATATTTCGACGAAACAAAAATATTCCAGCACGGAATCAATTTAGCCTCAATCACTATCAATCAAATTTCGGCGTGAACAAAAATATTTTGCAGTGTATCGAAAAACTCACAACAAAATAGTTTACGTGTGGGATATGAAAGACCAACAGTGTGCCAGCTGCCAACATTCTCAGGCTATAAAAAATAGTGCAAACAAGTTATTGTGGCGCTTCACACATGGAAAACACGTTCGTCTCTACTATACGTTACTTTTGTTATCGTTTCAATTGTCGCTGCATTTGAATTCGTACTAAATCGTCGCCAGTTACCTACGACACATTATTCATATATTCTGTTTAAATTCTTCAAGACCGTAATCTACCTTTTCTTACATATGCATAAGTTATATTAATTCGGTTCGGCTTTTAAATGGCCTCTATTTGCCTTCATTTTGCATGGGTTCTTGTGAAACTGTCGGCAGCGAATGAGCTCGAGCGGCAATCGTGCGAGCGCTCCTCGAGCGTCAACTTGCAGTGGAACTTACACACAAAGAAAAGTTAATACAATGCATGCTGTACTTTTCTTTCTTATAACTCAACCGCTACCGCTTCGGTACTTGTAAGTGTTCACTTAAAGTTAGCATTCTCTGCTAGCGCTCTTTGAGCATTGTTTTGAGTACATTTGAACGTCGCCACTAGCATTTTATAACAGTTTGTGTACATTTAGATTTATTAAATAGCTGCGTCAGATGTGGGTCCGGAGATTGTAACGCGGGTACAAACAGGACACGAGGAGATCCCACTATACAATGTAATGGGACGGCGGCATAATCATCTAAATTGTTTCCCTTGTTTACGAGTGGCTGACAGCAGGTGGACAGCCGCTGTGGTCACTATAAATAGGAGAAGAATCAAAAACAATGTTATATCTGTTGAAATTATAGTAAGATATTGTATAATCATACAAAATTGACAGTCTAGTTCTTAGTACGTAGAGAAAACTAAATCAACCTGGTACACTCTAATTAAAACTCAGTCTGATTACGCCGGCAGTGGAAGTTAAAAAACAAGTAATAAACCATTGTGGCTAGTTCGCTACAAGAAGTAAAATACAAAAATGAGTGTAGTGGCTAGGTAGCCGGACTTAGAGGCGAGCCATTGTCGTCCATCTGTATAAAACTAGTTCGGAGTTGAATGCAACTTGACCGGCGGCGGTCGGAGTGCTCCAATATTTCTGACTCTCTATTCTGCGGTATAACGTAAGGACTGTGATATTAACCGAGCCATGTGCAACTTTTTAATGTCTCATACTTGATGTTTGTTTTCTCTGGAACTTTCTAGAAGCCGGGTAATGTAAAGTTACAGTGATGTTGTAAATATATTTTGTCTTGAGCTACGAAATATTTGCAGTACGTGTTTAGACGTTCAATGAGGGCCATGATGAGATTAAGAGGAACAGTTCCGTTGAGTTAGAAAGTTGTCCATCCAAAGCAGAGAATGAATATTAAATAAAAGTTAGGAGTAATTTGGGGCTGTTGTCAATCCTTTTTTTAAAATTTTAAGGCTATTTACTGAACAAGTTTCCAGAACGATAGGTGTATCAATCCCAATACTATTGTGGTTTAAACAGTCACGAATTATGATTTACTTGTTAGAAAACAGAGAAGAGAAAGCAGTTGGGAGTTCTTGTCTATCTGTCCATCCATCTAGCTACGCATTTCATTATTATTCTAAAAAAGGTACACGTAAAGAAGGTCCTCATGTTACACACAATTAAATAATTAAGATTTTATGTGTAAACCGAGCCTCCTTACAATTCGTATTACTCGTATATAATATTTCAAAAATTCTTAGCCATATTATTGCATAGATCTTAGAAGGCAATTGAGCTGCCCTGTGGGTATCATTATTATTTTCCTTTGAGAAAAATTACGTATTCACATTGTTCAAATACTCAGACTTTGCCATTTAATCAGACTACATCTTGATTATGATAATATCACTGATACAGATCATCCATTTATAATAAAATAATTAAAATCTTTAATACACAAACATACAATTGAAAAAGTGACACATTCAAATAGGTTGATACAAATTGTATAACATAGCTTACCTGCCTACTACATTGGGCACCATTGCCCTTGGAGAAGGTTCCCCTGAGAAGCCTGCCTTGAAAGTCTGTGAACCAGCATCGAATACCACTCCTAGTATATCACTGGACATCTTTTCTTTTAGTTCCTTTCTTATTTTATTTTGTCTTTAAATTAATATGACCACTTGAGGCATAACCTTCGAGATTATGTTTATTGTCTTTATTTTCGACATTATGCAGTTTTATGCAGTTGGCTAAGGCCAGAACTAATTTATTTCCTTTGTCTGATAGTGGTGGACCGGAGAATAAGGCCTCTCTTCTCATGCATGAGGGTGCCGGTACGAAACCTGACAAATACCATTGTGACTTTTTCGCAGTTTTATTAAGTACTTTCAATGAATATTTAGACTCTACTGACATGCGGTGAAGGAAAATATCGTGAGGACACCTGGACTTATAATTTCTAATTATAATTTTGAAATCGCCAATCCGCCTTGAACAAGAGTGGTGGTTATGCTCAAATCTTCTCTTGCTTATGCTGCTGCTGCTTATGTTCAAATAGTCTAACTATAAATGCCCACTGTTGAGCAAACGCCTCTCATCATCATCAGACTCTGATGATGTACATGACAAGATTTAGTGACCTGACAATTTATAAATCTTTACTGCTGCTACTGAAAAATAAAATAAATAAAATATTTTCCATCCATAGATACTCATTTTTGACTGCACGATTGGTGCGGTGGCTGGGCAACTGGCTGCCGTGCAACGTGTCGCGGGTTCGATTCCCGCACGGAACAACTCTTTGTGTGATCCACAAATTGTTGTTCCGGGTCTGGGTGTCTTGTGTATGTAAAACTGTATGTTTGTAACAGCACCCACGACACAGGAGAAAATCCTAATGTGGGGCAAACTCATAAAAAAAAAAAAAAAAAAAAACAGTTACTTACTTTGATAGAACGAACTCATCCACTGATAGGAAAGTTAACGCCACTGCTTTTTTTAAGGTTCTTTCTTTAAATAGTATCGTCTTTTAAATTAAGAGCTACAACTTATTCTCCAGTATGATGGCAGGCTCGTGGCCTCGATACTCGACACCTAATCCAATATTGTACATCTGAAAGCTATTTTGGTTCAGCGCTGAGATCCGATCGTTTGCCATTTTAACTAGATTAAATTGAAACATCTTGTTCCCCGTTTAATCCCGACTTATACTGCTTAGCAATGTAGACATTCAGAGAACTGATATATAAAGTAGCATTAATAAATATATGTAGGTATTAATTCCTTCAATGATTTTGTTCTCAAGGTTTTTTTCTGTTCTCCAACAGTTTTGGTCGGCGTTCGTCCCGTGCGCTACGCAGAACAAAGACGCGGTGCAGCTGACTCTGGAACAAATCGACGTGATCAAACGCCTCGTGGAAAAGTACCCGCAGCACCTGCAGTTCGCAACATCGGTCACAGGTAAACTATAAACACTATAAACTAATTTGTCTTAAATCAGACGTGATAATGAGGAGCATTTGAATCTAATAACTCTTCAGTATTAGGATACCATGCCAAACAATGCACGCAGACACAAGTATTTTTGTATATTTGGATAAATATGTGAGAGCCATGCTGAAACGCATGCACGAAAGAGTCGGCTTGACCGAGGTGATACCACGGTCTCACAAAAAACCGGCGTGGAACTACCGAAAAAGCGTCGTGTTTCGCCGTGTGAGGTTACTGGAGGCTCAACCTTTCGTTTCCCCATTTCGTCTCCTATGCCCAAATCTCCAAAGGGCCGGCAACGTATTCGTAACTCTTCTAGTGTTATGGATATCGATGAGTGGCGCCATTTGCTTACCATCAGGAAATCCGTCTGGTCATTAGCCCTATCAGATAAAACAAAATATTCTCTGTTCACTCCAACGATGAGTAAGCATTCACAATATTGCCATTACTGTACGAATTCGGTGAAACAAAAAGCAGAATTAACACTGAACAAATACAGTGGAAATACTACATATGAATGGTTTTGGAAAAAAATCGTAATAAAATATTTACGTACGTGCCTTCTCTATGCTTCGTATTAATTAATATGCTTAAACTCATTAAGTTGTATAGATACAAATTTATATAAATTCTGCTAGTTACGACTTCTTTTTACTATTTTAAATCAGAAAACTGATACTTATTCAGTCTCTTTAAAAATAGAATCTTATGACTTCAGAGAAAGATTGTAAGGGAAAGTTTTATTAAGTTATAAATAGTTGTTGTAGGTAATGAATGGGCGTAAAAGTACTGAGTCAATTAAGGGAGGAGGAGAGCAAAAATATTACTTAGACTTTCCGTTTATATGTATAGTCTAACATTTTTGCATTATCAAGTTTTTAAAACAGAGATTCTCTTATTAAGGTATTTTTCCCTTTTCACACATGAACTTTCGGAACAGACTCAGACTCTAAAAAAAATATCGTTTAAAACTTTTGTTCGAAGCTGTTGACACGATTGGTTTCTTAATAAAACAGTTAGATCGGCATAAAGAAGAGTGAAAATGAGTCTTATTCTTCTATTAACACGTTCTCTCAAGACTATTCCCGTTATTGAAGAAAAAGCGACAGAAAGCTTCCGTCTTGTGAAAGCCCGATAACACAAAAGATAAAATTAAGTAAAATTTTCCACTAAAGGTAAACAGGAAATAATTTTACCTGTGTCATGACCACAGGAGTGAGGAAGAAAGAGATATAACGTCCATTGTTAATTGCTAAGAAGATTATTAAAAGCTCCTTATAGAAGCGGTGACAGGACCGTTTCATTAATATTGTCCCTCGGCGGCGCGGCACCGCGGCTAGTCCTTTCGCCGATGTACACAGTCTCTATTAAGATTTTATGAATCAAATGCTACAAAAATGGTAGGTCCACAGACTGGAATAAAATAAGCAGTTAAATCAGTAACAGCAACAAGTGAGAGAACGTGCTTAATGCATCTGAATTACCAGAAAGACAATGTTTTGTTAAGATCTCTGTTCTACACCACATAGAATATCCTTGATTTTTGAAAGACTATTGACTTCTCCTCTTCTTTGTTACGATAGAATATTTTAATCCAGATTATGATTACTATTTATTCTTACAGTTATGATAAAGGATTGAGCAAAAGCCAATGTAATTACTCTATACCGGTACATTGCATGATGGAATAACTTAACGAACACGTTTCAAAAACAAGATAGAAAAAGGGATTAAGATAGCAATACCTTAGAAGCACTAACAAGAGCCTTTTTCAACTTCCAGTTACATAAATGCAAAATAAGAGAAACACAACAAGAAACATCTTTCAGAAATGAAATGAAAATATTAAAATGTAAAACTGTATAAAAAGAAAAACGGTTTTTGTTTTAAACGATACCCCGAGATGTCGTAGTACGCGTAGTACTACGCCGTTTCGGAGCGACTAAACTAATTTGTAACTTTAAAACCGACACGCGCCGGATATAGCCGGATTTGTCGTACACGGTTCTTGTAATTTATAGTTTTTATTTTTCTTCGTATTATTTTTTCTTTCTACTTTTTGATTTATTTGTATTCCGTAATTGTATGAATATTTTGCGTAATTGAGTTTGTAAGATATCTTATTACTGTAAGCGTTGTAGGAAACTCGTTTGTTTCGTAATATTTATGATCGTCGGCGTAGTCTCCGTGTTTCTGAACTGAATGTTTGTACTAAAATGTGTTAGGATTTCTATTATGGAAGATATTAAAGTTACTTCGATTGTTTTACGTTTGAATCTCTTAACTCAGACTAACCTTCATAAAAATATAATATTGCCGAAGTTAGTCGTCAGTTTTCCCCTTTCTAAGTAGAAAAGACAATAGACTTCTTGGTAAGTACTTTTCTAACAATGGCGGCTGCCCCGCGCACTGACGCCATAAAATATTCATCCCAAACTTTCGTGGCGCACTCACAAACGTCATTAATTCATTTAACCTCGGCTTCGTATGAATCTAATGTTCATACAAAATATAGGGAATTAAATTTAGTAAGTCCATCGCCGAGATTGGCTCCCTGTACATTGAACGCAAAGTTTGAACGAGGCTTCACTTCTCAGGCTTGAAGTTAGTTTTTAGAATAAATATAATATTAATATCTGCTCCATCCGTTCGCAAACGAAGCAAAGACACTCTACACTAAGTTTAAATTTAGTAGATACACTCGAAACTTTTGCGTTGGTGAAAATCATTTGGAAGATTCAAAATGGATGCTTACACCTGAATAAACCCACAACACCGAAAGAGTTACGAGTGCGTTGCCAGCATTTTAGGCATTTAGGGGTTTCGGATATTTAGAATTGTTGTGTATACTATAGGTTGAATGTAGGTTTGAATCTCAGTGTCATTAATGGCCATATAATTTTTGATATTTGCTTAGTAGTTTTTACTTACAAAAAACAAAATTTTAATTTTCATGTAATAGTATAAGTCTATATTCGTTATAAATATGAAGTAGGATGTAGTTTTAGACATTATATCCAAAATTACGTTTATGCAAAGCAGAGATGACATATGATTACTTAATGTTATTAATTAACATCGAACTTAAACCTAAGCTAAACCTTAAACCTAACACAAAAATATTTTTCAGAAAATAATGTTACAAGGGAAACAGTACAATACAAAATATCTTAGCATTTGGAAGTGTCTTCTTAGAACAGGTTGGCACAGAGATAGTCACACAACACGTGCAGGTCAGCTTACGTTCGCAAGGACAGACAAGGATTACACAGCTTCCACATGTAGACAAGGCCGGCTATTGTTGGCCAGTTACGTCCAGCGTGTGGAATTAGATACGGAATGGCGACAGGACGAACTTAGCTCTCTATTAAATAAGCCATTTTCTTACAAAAATGTGTTTTTAATAAGAATCGAGCCTTTGAATTTCTTGATGATGAACAATAGGCGTCAATTTTTGTAGAGACGCTACAAATGTCTATGTCTTTCCTTCTCAGATATTCTGGAGGCCCACAGCGCTCGTCCTCGCAAGATCGCTTCACTCATCGGCATTGAGGGAGGTCACTCCATCGCCAACTCGTTGGGAGTGCTACGATCCTATTACCAGTTGGGAGTGCGGTACATGACCCTCACCCACACTTGCAATACTCCATGGTAAGTTGAGATAATTACCACAAAAAGCAACACGAAATATATATTCGCAATATAGACTTTTTATTTCCATATTTCTGCCCCCTTGTGTTCCTATACAGTACAAAAGATTTACAATCACGAATATTTTTTCGTGTCTCCGCAAAAAGTTTGAAATAAATTATTCATGTCCAGCCCTCGACTCCCGTTTGTAGCAATGCAAAGTTTGCAACTAAAACTGCAATTAATTGTCCCCGAAATGGCGTATCGGAGATCTCGTATAACGCTTCGTAGTGTGGCGTAGCTCGGCGTACAATGGCGTAGCTTCTACTGTAAATATTTTGATTCTGTTTGCTAGCAATTTCGAGCAATTAGTCTTAAATTAATACAATCAGTGATTGCAGCATTAAACTAATGCTCTGTTAAAATGCTGCTTACTTTTTAACGAAAATATAAAAATACTTTACATATAAAACGTTTCTTCCAACTTCATCTCTACGTAAAACTAAAAATTCATTTAAATCACTTCGTAAATGCTAATCCCGGAAAAAGATAATACGGCAAAATTAAAATCATAAATTAAAATATAAACAATTTCAATTCGGTCCTCTTGAATATTCCTGCGAGTTTTAATTTCTTTGAAATAGGACGTCCATTTCGTGATTAATATAGATATTTCTGGTCCAGACGAAATCAATGTGGACCTGAAGTGTCTATGAAGATCGAGAAAATAAAACATAGAACACCAAGAGATTACTCGTCTTTTGTAATAGGAGTTCCTGAAAAATACTACAACATATTAAATAATGAAGAAGTATGGCCATTAAATACCGAATTTAACGAATGGACTTGGTTTCGTAGACAAACTGCAACCCTCGATAAGTAATAGCGTAATTGAAATATACTACCAAAATGTTAGAGGACTTCGAACTAAGCTAGATAACTTCAGAAACAGTCTTGAATCTTCCAACGCGGACTTATTTGCTATTACTGAGTCAGGCTGCAGTCAGTCAATACAAGACGCTGAAATTATTCCGGGTGGATATACACTGCTACGATGTGATCGAGCGGATGGGCGAAAGCAAGGCGGCGCGATTCTCGTGGCCACACACCGGTTCGAGCTGCGACAAATACCTATAGTTGAAGCGTCGATAGACAATTGTGTTTTCGAAATGATATGTGCCACGGTACATTTAAATAAACGTTTTTTGTTTGTGTGCTGTGTTGTCTATATTCCACCAGGTAGCTCAGAAACAGATTATATGTTATTATTCAGAATTATAGAAAAAATATGTGATAAGTATGATGAAGTGTTGGTAGTTGGTGATTTTAATTTGTTCTCTTGTCCTGTTAATGTTAATAATTATTATGAATGTTTTTTATCTTATTGCGAATTCACTCAAAGTAACGCAATACCTAACTGTTTGGGTCGGCAACTAGATTTGGTTCTGAGTGCGGGCATTAGCGGGGTGACGGTGGGGGCGGCGGATCACGCGCTTGTGCCTGTGGACGCGCACCACCCGCCGCTGGCAATCAATGTGCGCTATGCGCATGCTCCCGCGGTTTCGGCGGGCCCCTACAGTCCGAAGAATATTAGTGCGCGCGATATTAGACCGAAATGGAATTGGAATAAGGCCGATTTTCAGTTGCTGTATTCTAAGTTGGTTTCTATAGATTGGAGTTCATTGTATGAAATGCATGATTTGGAAGAAATGTTGAACTTCTTTTATGATAACATCAATAGTTTAATAAATGAATGCGTTCCACAGAAAAAACCTAGTAATCATAGTTCGCGATTCGTATACCCTATATGGTATACGAGCGATATAATAAAAAGTTTAAAAATTAAAGGTAGATTTCATAAACAATACAAAAAATCCAAGTTGCATAGTGATTATATCAAATTTGCAGAGTATAGAACTTATATTAAAAAAAATATAGAAATAGCACACAGAGAACACAGAAATAAAATTCAATTTCAATTTAAAAAGGATCCGAAATCGTTTTGGCAATATATCAGGTCAAAAAAATCAACATTAAATAAGCATACTATCGTAAAAGAAGGTCAACATTTAACGGATGAAGAATGTGCGCAGCAGTTTGCTAATTTTTTTGAGTCGGTTTATAGCAAGGAGCCACCCGTACTGGACGCATGCGCGGCGTTAGCAGAGGCTGGCGCAACTAGTGCGCGGGTGCATATCGAGGCGTTAAGTCTAAAGGAGGTTCAGAAGGCGCTTGGAAATTTGAAACCGAAACGATCATCTGGTCCAGACGGTATTCCACCGTTTCTATTTCGAGACTGTGAAAGGGTGTTAGCTGAACCATTGCTACACATATTTAATGCTTGCTTGGCAAAGGCGACATTTCCCTCAAGGTGGAAGACCACACGCGTTATCCCAGTTCCTAAAGGGAAAACAGGTCCTGATATTTGTAATTATAGACCAGTGGCGGTACTATCGACGCCTGCTAAAGTACTAGAGTCAGCTATTCAGCGTTCCGTGCAAGGGCAAGTGCGAGCGTGTTTGTCGGATGCACAACATGGTTTCAGACCGGGACGGAGTACTACGACTAACTTACTCAACTTTATGGTGCAGGTGGTGCCGTCAGTAGACTCTGGAGCTCAGGTGGATGCAGCGTACTTTGATTTTCGGAAGGCATTTGATACTGTCGATAACGACGTTTTATTAAGAAAGCTTGCGAAGGTTGGATGTACGCTGCCTCTACTACAATTTTTCGCTAGCTATATGAAGGACCGCCAGCAGTATGTGGATTGCAACGGATGTGAATCTCATCCGTACTATACTAGGTCAGGCGTGAGCCAGGGTAGCAATGTCGGGCCTCTGGAGTTCATCATAATGATAAATGACTTACCGGAAGTTGTCAGGTACGGGAGTTGTTTATTGTTTGCAGATGACCTGAAGTTGTTACTCAAGGTTGAAGATAGTTCGGATTGTGAACGCCTGCAGGATGATATAAATCGAGTGGTTGAATGGAGTAAAGTCAACAAACTTCGCTTCAACGTAGACAAGTGCTCAGTGATGTCATTTACTCGTGCTCGGGCTCCTTTGTATCATCAATACATGGTAGAGGACACAGCGATCCAGCGAGTGTCACAGGTACGAGACTTAGGGGTAGTCTTCACTCCAGAACTTACCTTTCGTGAACATATCAATAAGATATGTAAGAAGGCTTACAGGAACCTGGGTTTTGTACTCAGACAAACTCAGGGGTTCACCAACATCTCGACGCTCAGGGTATTGTATGACACATTAGTACGGAGTCACCTCGAGCACAGTGCAGTTATATGGGCGCCTCACGAGGCGAAATACAGTGTCATGTTGGAACGTGTCCAAAATAAGTTTACAAGACACTTGTATTCCAAACTTTATGGAGTTTATCCATTTTACCCTCTCATGTACCCTACTCTCTTTGTTTTGGGTATGGTAGGGTACAACGAGTTAAGGGTGCGGAGGGACTTTACGCTGGTAGCGTATGTGGTGAAGCTGCTGCGTGGCGTAGCGCATAACCCGGGAGTGTTGCGACACCTGCAGCTATGTGTGCCAGACCGATATGTGTGGAGGCGGAGACGCCCGCCTCTCCTCGCTGTGCCGGCGGCCAGAACCAACTTACTGGCAAGGGCTCCTCTCACTAGAGCCATAAATGTAGTGAACAAAGTTCATGAAAGGGTTGATGTATTGTGTTGCAAAGTGGGTGAATTCGTAAAAGTCACGTTGTATATATTATGTTTTTCAAATGTTAATTAAGATTGCTATATTATTTTTTATTTTATTTTTATTATTGTTATTTAGTAAGTAGTTGCACTGCTGATCTCGTGACTATAGTGTCGACAGTATTATATTATTTACTTTTATAGATTAATGTTAGGTTTTTTAATGATTAAGTAATTAGGTACATACTCTTTGATTAAGTTAGTTATGTTATAGGTGGGTATGTGCATTTTTTAGTTTAAGAAGACAGGTAATGTTTTTTCTTATTTTTTTTTTTTACTTTGTATGATTTTAATCCTAAAGTTTAGTTCATAATTAAGGTGTTGTATGATTTCTTTTTGATTGTGTTATGTTGGTTTAAATTAGTAAATAAGTTCTTAGATTTAAATATAGGCCTAAGCTATCGCATTGGAGAAATCTGTAATGGTAGTATAAGGTAAGATTTTTAAATAAATAAATAAATAAATAAATAAATTTCAATGATGTTACGAAGAAATAATTAAATATCTATTTTGCTTTAGACTTTTTAAGTAATATTTAAAAATACCTCCAGTAGAAGGCAAAAAATAATATGATAAAAGTGTTTTTTTTTTTATTTAATTAGTCGTTTATATTTTTGAACCTGTAAAGAGATACGGCGCGCTTCTTTAAAAGTCAATTACAAAAATATCCGTATTCGCGTAAACATTTTTGACGTGAGCCGCGTTGTTTCTTATTTCCTACACAAAACCCGGCAAATGGGAAATTGCCGAAAATTCAATTCTCTCACAACAAAAGAAAGCGGACAGTTATTAAAACTGAACATTGTAAAGAATTCACTTTTAACTTAACGAAGTTGATATCTTGCTTCAAAAGGAGATGACGAGCTCACCTGTTTGTTTTCAAGATTACGTCACAAGACGGACGAAATAAGACTTTGTTCATAATTACTTTAGGTATCAAGTTAGATCGTGATGAACGATAAACTGTTTACAGAAGATTTATATTCTATTCTTTTAAAAGACTCGACTTGAGATTTTCCGCAAAATGGCTCGCGGAGTTTTAAAACAAGCGACACACAGTTGACATTATATTAATTCCAAAATCAAAGATATTGTGACAGAAAACTCTTTGACATCATGACGTCAATGGATGGTTGTCAAACGATGCCTAGAGATTGTAAATTTCGTCGTGAATTGTCAACACGAGTTGGTGTAATCGGTAAGGCGTGTGGATTACACCACAGAGACCCCGAGTTCGAGTCCCGCCGTAAACATGAAGTTTTTTAGTTGATGGAAGTTTTGTCGAACTTTCTGG